ATCAGACCAGCAGACAGCAGTAGTCAGCAACAGCAGCTCAGCATCTCAGCAACTCATTAAAAACAGCAACAGCAATCCTCATGCCCAGCACCTGGCAGAACAACCAGGGACTGTCTGCAAAAAATAAACTGGGCCAGTTATCCTCCAGCTGCTAACTGTCTTCACTTCCCCAAGAGTTGGCTTTAATCCTACAAGAAAAGAGATCAAAGCTACAAACTCAGTTTATGGCCACAAAGGCCTCCAGTCCTGATACTATCCCAAACCAGTGCACAAACTCCACTGCAAGCAAGACAATGCAATACAAATCAGAGCATATCACTCAGACTGTACACACCACCTGCCCAAGCACCAAAACCAAACAACACCAATTCAGTAATGTCAGCACATAGCAGAGCAAAGCATTGCCTAAAAACACCTCCACCTCCTCCTCCTCTTCAAAAACACTTGAGAACACCAGATCCATGAACCAACCCCCAGTCTCTGATCACAAACAACCACTTTCTTCAGTCTGACTGTGGGCACTGTGTTGCTTGCAGTAGATAACAATATCCAATCCATATCCAATGTCAGACTAATCAAATATGCAAGGCTTATTTAAAAAAAATGAAAAAACCGCTTACGGAACCCCAATAATAATGAATATTTAAATCCTAAAAATTAAAAAAAAAATCAAAAAATTTGGGTTCTTGGAGCTGCTTTCAAACTCCATTAACAGATCTCCAAAAAAGCTAGAATCAACACACCTTAGGCCATCAACATTGCTTTCTCTTCCTTAAGTACCATCTTACTGTTTGCTTGGATATGATATAACACAGTGTAAAATTGAAAAAATCAACAAAGTGTAAATCAATTAAAATTTAGTGAACGAATCAATTAAAATCCAAGAGTAGTTATATTGTTGGAAATATATGCAAAATTAAAGAATTAGTATAATGTTTTCCACAATCTAGAATAAAACGCATAATTCAAATCAATCAAAGCTTCACTTCAACAAATAGTCTTGCTGGAGAAGAGAGAAGGAGACTTACCATGATATTTGAGTTTCTTTCCTCTGTTTCCCCTGCAACCAAGTATAGCAGCTGAGTTTCCAACATTTAAATCAAATATGAGAACTCAAATCTCTTCTTATGCATGTCCTAAGAATGGGTTTAATACTTTGAGCCTAATTTATTGATATTTGCTTAGAAATTTAAAATTTCGATGAGATGATTTTTCTCGATAATCGCAAAATAGAAAAAGAATCATTCTTGAGTAGGACAAAGGCAAACTTTACCATTGATTTCATCACACTGAAGTTGTTGTTTCACATGTTAGCAGCAAATGCATTAAAAGTAAGCTTGGAAAAACAGCATTCATGGAAAACTGGATTTCAATACTCGCATTTGTTCCTAGTGCCTTCATTATAAAAAATTACCATCACAATCAATTTGGATGGCTGACTTTAGTTTGTTTGGCTTACCATCACATGAAATTTGTTCCCACAAGATCTTGCTTTCTCTCCACTCCAAATTATTTCCACATAGAATTCTGGCAAAGAGAATCAGGGAACACCCTTTTTTAAAACAGAATCTCACTTTTTTTTCCCTTACTATTTACTGGCTTCCTTTTAAGGCTAATCACAAACAATATCATGCTTGTTTCTCTCACAAACTTAGGCAACTGGAACAAAATCATGCCACAAATTATTTATAATACTTACCTCTCCAGCATTAACAGTGATAATATGGGGTGTAAAATTAGCACCAACAGAGCATGAAACCCATTCGCCTGCACACAAAAGTTGAATATTAATTATGAGTGAACAACAATCTGCAATTATTTCACGTATTTGCCAATTTGAACAATATGAATACTGCATACATAAAACCATGTATGCAGTATTCAGAATAATAAACTAAAAAATAATCTTTATAGACAAAAAAAAACAGGCATTTTGATAATTTCCACCATCAAACACAAGTATCACCCAAATATAAACAAATTCAACCTAGTCAAAGAAAGGGGAAGTTTGAAACCAAAACACCAAAGTTGTAATACCTCACATGAGGCTATAAAGATAGAGCACAACTTATCGCTATACAGTCCCCCAGTTCAGTAACTGTTGTTAAAGAGCATCAAAAGAAGCAAAGGTAACTGAACAAACAAATGAAAAAAAAATGTAAATAGGAACCTCTAACTTTAATCACATTACAAGAAACTAACAATTACGTACCAAGAAAACATGTAAATAGGAACTTCATTCCCATTAAGCAGTAGATCTAAGATGCCACGACAAAACCAAAAACCAGATCTCCTTAAAACTTACTTTAAGTCCTCATTTGACTACACCAAGTTATCCAAGAATGGAGAGTGGTGTCAGACTGGACTGCTGATTGGAGACTGCTGCCAGGCTATGTAGTGGCGAAGTGAAGTTGAAAGAGGCCTTAACAGCAGTTTGTCTATTCTTTGTAACAGAACAGAATTTGTTATTATGAAAACAGTTTCTGTTTTTTGCTTGTTTAAACAAATTTTTTCTGTTTTTGATTCTTGTAATTCCTGAATTACATTCAATAATTTTTTTTTCTACCACGTGGACAAGTTACCAATCCTATGCCTGGCCACTCACTGGTTGGAAAAATTGTAACTATCAACTCTCTTTTAACACCGTCCTATATTCCTCATTAGTCAGTATTGCTCAAGCAATTCAAGAATTTAGTAGAAAGATCGTTTGAACGCAGCGAATGTTTGACTAAAGTAAGAACACCCAATGGGCTGAATTGAACATTTTTATGGATAAATTTATCCAGATCTTCCAAACTGTTCAGATATTAACCACAGTAAAACCTTGAAGCCATGAATCTATTACATAGAAATCCAGTAATCAAACACCAAACCAGCCTAAGAATAGAAAAAGGGTCACCGATAACAGACCATTGTAATTGGTTTGCTTTCCAGACGCAAATTGATTGAGAAATTGCAGGGCTTGTGCAAAAGTTCATGAATTCAAAATGTGGAAAGAAACAAGAAATGATTGAAAGAGTAAGGGTACTTCGGGACATTACTGAAAGAGAATTTGCGAATGGCAGATCATTTGAAACTAACTTCAATGCTTTTATGGAGGATCTCCTCCAGGACCATGAACAATAAGCAGTGTGTTACTATGCTCCTAAGACTTGCAGCGTTAATTTTACCTTGGTGATCGAAGTTATAGGTAGCCTAGTGGGAGGTTATTAGCTGAACATTGTGCATGAGTTGAAAGTTGAGAGCAGAAAGTTTGTACTTATTTCCAACTTTCTATAAATTTGGAATTAAGACAAAAAAAAAGAGCAGAAGCCGGACTTGCACACATAATAAACTCAAATTTCATTGCCTACCCATTTGAAGAGGTCCCTACCCTTCCTAATAGAAACTTGGATAAATATAAAAAACCATTGCTTAGTGTAATCTCTCTCCCTCCCCATCTTCAATTGTTTCCACTGCCAACCCAGTTCTACCAACCAAACACTAAAAGATTTTTGGTTCACTCCATCCACCAATTACCATAACATGGCATCAAAACCAGCTAGCTTCACAATGCCTACCTCTTCCACTCGAGTAATTTCATATTTTGGTAGATTTAAGAACACGAGAACAGCGTACATACCATACTATCTGGATACATGGAGACGCCAGTAATGAAGTCCACGAACTGATCACAAATGAACTGATCCAAATGAACTGAACTGATCACAAATGAACTGATCCACAGAACAAAAACCAAAACTACAAGCTAATTCACTTAATCTAACAGGAAATTGCATTTCAAATCAGATAAAAATTAAGGGTTTAGAAGCCAATATTATGCCACAAAGTGTTATCAACAACCATTCTGTTAACATAAACATACACTCCAAATCCCAATACCCAAATCCGATATTGGCACAACATTAAACCTGAACTACATTCAATAAATTTTTTTTTTAAAAAAAATTTACAAACAAATAATTATCAGTATGAAACATGAAAACCCCAACATAAAATGTCAAAAAAAAAGAAGAAAAAAAACTAAATATAAATGCCCTAAACCTCGACCTGAGGAATGAGAGCTACAAAACAAAAAACCCAGATTAATTTCAGTCAGATCAGATCAAAATTATCAACATCAGATGAAGAAAGGTTGGATCAGGATCATGGATATGAACATGAGACTTGATGTGGATGATGTAGAAGGTATCACCTTTTTCACCCAAGTTGTCAATAACCCATTGCAGAGCCGTCTTCCTGCTGTTTGAGAAATCCATTGCCACTCCAATCCTCTCTCTCTTCTTGTTCTTGGTTGTATGAAGAACAAAATCGAACTTGGCGTATGAAAATTGAAACCAAAATCAAGGACTTAAAAAGGTGTAATCTTTAGGAATGGTTTGATGCTTTTGGATGGAAGCTGTGATGAGAAAGCTAGAGAGAGGGAGACATGGCAGAGGCTTCATCTGCTTGGTGTGTGTGTGTGTGCGAGAGAGAGAGAGTCGGGAGAGAAAAAGAGAGACGTTATGGTTGCCGCCTGGCCTGGAAGGAGAGAGCACGCTTGTCCTTGCCTTGGGTTGTGTGTTAGAATGGGCGGGATTTGGTTTTTGAGTGAGATGTATTGTGAGCCTTTGGATAGAGATCTTAATTTGAGACCATTGGATGTTGAAGCCGCCCTATTTTATATTATAGATGAATAATCCAAAAAGTTATGCAAAAAAAAATCATTGCTATTCCAGTTCAATTCCTAACAGGCTAACACATTTTTTTGGTAAAGCAAGCCAAATGAAGTAATTAAAAAATACAACTAAAAGTTGAAATTCAATCAATCCATCACTAAGCTTGAATGAAAATTTAAGCAAATCCCATGCAAGCAATGAATCAAACTGAAAATTAGTGAACTATTGAAATTCTAGTATAAAGGCATGGCAGTCGTTTTTAGCACAAATTAATTATGAAACTCTGAATTCAAGGAAAAATCAATATATGATCAACACATAATTTATAAATAAAAACCAAATTCAATGGAATGCAACAAAACCCTTACCTAGGCATGAGCACACCTTTTTTCCCATGAACCATTGAGCTGCCAAGGCATGGAACACTTCTGCCAAGGCATGACCACAAAACAGTCAAGAGAGAAATATGGAGATATGAGTCACCCATAAACAAATCAAACAAAATTCAAGCATGAGCGAGAGGAAACACTCATTTTACTTAGCCCAATAAATTCCCCATTCATAAAAAAGGAAAATCCATTTTACTTACCTATTTTGCTCACCAATGTTGAAGACACAACATTATTTCACAAAATAAAAGCTAGTTAGGCCAAAGCAAATGAATCTGCCTCCTCCAAAGTTTACACATTTACTTTATCCTCCTAATACTTCAATAAAAATATTATAGCACCACTAAAAATAGGGGAGGCATATTGTATTTGAAATGTTTCCCAAATCAAATCTATCTTTTCAACCCAAGTTCCTGAATGTATTTGAACTAATCCATGTATGGACACGACCACATCACCCAATCCCAAAAGCTAGAATAATATTTCCCCCAACTACTAAAAAGGTGCAACATTGGAGAATTTGAAAATAGGTAGGTTGCTGAAAAGCTAGATATGTGGCTAGATGAATACCTTCATTAGCGAAGGAAATTTAGCTTTTAAAAAAGAAATGGAATTAAACCCTATAAATCAAAACTCTGCCTAAATCAACCAGTAATAATAAAGAATCAATAATTATTTTGAACAAATAATCCAAGTAAGAATTCAACTAAACCAAACAATCCACAAATTTCAAGACCACGTTATACCTAAACAACACAATCACATGCACCCAAAAAACACAAAAAACTCATTATTTAGCCACCTCTTGAAAATTCTCAAACCATAAACACCGTCTTCCCTTCAAACTCACCTTTATTGCAATTTAGACCATTAGGCAGGGGAGGTGCTTAAGAGTGTCCATTCAGTCAAACAGCAAGTGATCCAAAACACCAAAATATTATATGTCCAGCCATGCCTCCAGACCCAATCCAGAGTACATATTCAGTCGCTAGGATTTTATACAGCTTGAAAACAAACAAATGCAACTCATTATTTTGGGATAACAATAATCACCCATCCTCATGTGTTGACTCCATGATCACTACCTGAAATTAATTTTGTAAAAGAAATGAATTAAACTCATTACAGCTTGAAAACAAACAAATGCAACTCATTATTTTGGGATAACAGTAATCAGCCATCCCCGTGTGCTTTGACTCCATGATCACTAACTGAAATTAATTTTGTAAAAGAAATGAATTAAACTCATACATTCACAAAAAATAAACAACACGTATTAATTCCGAAAGAAGAAATGCAACTGTGTGTGAACACTACCTGTAAATGCAGTCTAAGCAAAAGTGAAAAACAGGTGTGTGTGTGTGTGTGTGTGATTTTTTTTTAACAGGCAGGGAGACAGACATACTCTTCTTTTTTGTCTTAACCATTTCTGCATCCAATTAAAAAATATGCATAGTGCCATGAGTTTTTCAATTTTTTGATGATGAATCGAATTTTTTTTTTTCTCATGGGTACATACATCTCATGATCTTAGGGGTAATCAAATAAACTGAAATCTATAGAAAAATCTAGGCTTCAATAAGCCAGACTTTAGTTGAATGCGTCAGACATACTTAAAACATGCATTAAACCATTGGGGCTTTCAAAAATAGACCTAAGCCTCTATCATGCTCAGTCCAACAATATAAATCAATCACATTATTAGAGTTTAAATATCAGACTTAATACCCTAACTTAATGATGTAATGGGTGAAATGGTCTCACTAAAAAAGTTCAACCGATGTGTGTGTGTGGCTGTGATTTTTTGTTTTTTAACAGGTGTGTGATTCAGAGGGTGTCTTTGATAGAGAATGTATGTCAGGGGCATTTGATCGAACAACTTGTGGGCATTGGGCATTTGAACGAAGAGCAAACCAAACAAATAGAGGCAGGGAGATAGACATACGGAAATGTAGAGCAAAACCAAACAAACCCAGAGAGAGAGAGAGAGGGGAGTGATTCGTACCTGTAAGTGAACGGCTGTCTGAGTAACCAATTTGATAAATAAAAATTCCAATTTGAAATTTCATCAAAGATAAAATCCAAAAAGGGGCATATATATCCTAAAAAAAACCATTTTAAAATTTCACAAATCCTATTTAACACTCAATTTGAAAACCCTAAGACTCAAACCCAAATTAACACCCAATTATTGTGTTGTTGGGTGTGTTGTGTGAGTGTGTGATCAGTGTGCGTGTGCTGTGGGTTTGTGTGTGTGTGCTTGATTGGTGAGAGAGATGAAGAAAGAGATGTGAGATCTATGTGTGTTGTGTGCGTGAGATGAAGAAAAAGAGGTGAGACAGAGAGACAACGCGACTGGAGACACGGAGAAAGGAGCTAACCTGGGTGTTTCGTCTTCGCTGGTGGGTTCACCAGTGGTGGCTGAGCCATGGCAGAGAGAGAGAAAGGCCGGGAGAGAGAGAAGTCACAGGAGTGTGGAAAGAAAGAGAGAGAGAAAGGCTAGTGGGCATCCGACACTTTGGGAGACGTGATTTAAATTTTAGACAGGATAATTTTTAGGGAGGATAAAATCTGGATCGTTTAAATGAATGATTTTAAGAAATATTTATGATCGTTTGATGAAATAGATTGTGACAATCCGATCGGCTTGTTGAAGCCCGTTGTGTTTTATATTATAGATTATAGATTTTCACACCAAAAAAGGCAAGTTACTTACTAAAGCAAAATCAGAATTAGCTAAATTGTAATTTGAAGAAAATAAAAACAGAATACTAAGCACAAATGCATGCTAGGAATTTAATGAACCTTGTGGCACCCAAGCAGCACAAACAGAGTCTCTTCTCTTCCGGTTGCTAAAAGTTGTGTTAATACAACTCAAACAAACGAAAAAATAGCAGCCACGTTAACAACTCAAACAAACGACAACATGAGTTAAAAAGTTGAGAATTTAACAAAATAGCAGCCATGTTACAACAAAAAAAACAAACAACCAAAATAACAAAGAAAATTACCCCAAGAACTCCCAAAATAATAGAAGAAAAAAAAATTCAGTTTTGGAGCAAACCCCAAGAATTCAATTGGAGCAAAACAGAGCTCCACCCAAGCTATCAAAGAATGTCCACCTTGTGATTGGCCTCCAATCAGTTGGGCAGTTAAGTTTGCCACATCCTCTTTCATGCTAGGCTGCAAATGAACAAATCAATGCCACAAAAAAATTAATAAAGGAAAATAGATGGTAAAATGAACAAACAAATGAGAGAAAAATAAACAAATGAAGTGGTTCAACAAAAATATTAAGGTAACAAACTGCATTCAGTTGAACCTAATTGCAATTGGAATCAATTGCTGATATGAGGCACCATAGCTCTTTGAGGAATTTCGTCGAACATGTGGTGGACCTGGTTGGTTGTCGGTGGTCTTAGAAACAATTCAGTCCATAAGCCCCATGATTAATCAATGTCAAAAATAAAAGTTCATCCACGATTAATCAAAAATATATTAAAAAAAAATTGGAAATATGACCTTAATGGAGCCTTCGAGATTTTTTTTTGCGACTTCAATGGCCTCTCATTAGACGAACAACCTCAAAACTGACATAGAATTAAAAGAGCAGAATTAAAAGAGCATCACTACTCAATCTTAGAATGTACAAGCTCATACTTTTCTTAAGAAAATCTAAGTAGGAAATACATACAAAAATTAGAGAATCTCCTCCGCGGCAAATGATCAAACTCGGCATAGTCATGTTGCCCATCCTCTGTCTTGTGCAATTGCAACACCAAAGGTCACGAAAGCGGCAATCCTTGCAATTACAATGAACCTATGTAATAAAAAATCACGAAAACACAGCAAATAATTATGACAATGATTCTTTTATAAATGTCATGGAACGACAAACAAAATAAAGGTATCCAAAAGCTAACCAGATCCTCTAGTAAGGAAGTCTCACCAAACTATGCTTTCCAACACTGATGATTTTTCAGAACTCTGAACTCAGCTCAAAACAAAACAAAAATCACGATATGAAATACTCTGTTCACAACAAAATACATAAATCAAACAATTTATTGAGAAATTTCACAGCTTCACTCCGGAATCAAATTCCATAGACATTTATTGCGAATCTGTCAATGTCAACACTCTCCCACCTTTGCCTATGTATTCCCCCGTCCCTCTTCCCTCTCCAAAACCGTGTAAGATAAATAAGAGTTTTAAAAGTAGCTCAAATCAATTAAAAACCCACCACTCTCTACGTGTTTTCTCTATTTCGCTCCTCTATTTTAACGGATTGACTCTCTTTCTCTCTCTAAAAAATCAGTCCCCAAAATAAAGTTTTCACAACTTAGTAATTCCACGATCCTATCTTTATATGTGCCCTGGCAAACGTCCAATTCCAAATTATTATCTTGCTTGAAATTAAAAAATCTTCCCTTGATCATCTGTTCTAATTTAAACCACAACCTAAATAAAAAGAAAGTAATTGTTCCACTAATATATTGAATAGACCAATTAATCATGAATAATGTATATAATGGGAAAAAAAAAAACAATGAACAATGAACATACCGGGAAAAAAAAAACAATGAACAAAGTATTATTCTCTAAAGCATTCTCAATATCAAAGTCTTCTTTCCTCTCAAATATTTCTACAAAAAAAAATGCTAACAAAATAATTTAAAACTAACTGAAAAGAAAAATGTGATATGGTTCTATCTAAGACATAAAAAGTGGGTGAATGAGCAAATGATTAAGTGAACCTATATAGACTGTTGACTTATGCAAGTTCAAAAATATGCCACTACCACTGGGTCATGCCAAAAGTTATTCAAATTGTATACTCATTAAATCACCCCTCAAATAAAAATAAAGATTTATAATATCTAAATCACATATATTCAAATTCAAATTGTAAAATCATAAAATCTAAGATAATTAAAACCATCGCACATATAAAAGTTATAAGACATCATTCACTTAGTAAATGTCCCGGTACTATGATTATCAATTTGCAAAAATAAACTATCAAAAAGCTGTAATTTAATTGAAGAAGTAATTACCAATAGGAATATGTTACAACCAATATTGAGAAAATCTTTGCGCTCTCTGTTGTAATATTCAATGTCTTTAACTAAACCTGAAATAAATAAAAAAAAATTAGAAAAAGTGCTATGAAAAGTGTTGACAAAAATCAAACCTTAGAAAACTCACTAAGTTACCATTCAAACTTTGCCTAGAAGCATGAGTTTGATGTTGAAACTCCTAAGACAACTGATAAAGTAACATTTATCTGCCCTTGGAATAGATTGAAATTTTGTGAAAAAGAATAATGAGAACTTCACCTAATTATTCGGAATCAAAAGATATGCAAACATTAAGCTCCAAATGTTTGTCCACCAAATAATCAATTCAAGCAAAAGAAATACACTCATGAATCCCAAAAATACATCAAATTAGACCTACTTACAAAACTCAGTGCAAATTGTACCCAACCTAATAACTAAATATCTCAATAAGGTGTAGTTTTATGAATGCATGGAAAAACAAATAGATTGGTGGACAAATAGAGACTACATTCATGTCTGGCAATTAAATTTGGCAATATCTTCAAGAGTCCCAAATAATTAATAAGAAAAAAAAAATTTCTCAAGTAGCATTACATGGAAGACATTACCACCACCAAATTTCTAAAAGATAGCAAACATATGCCAGAAAACAAAACCACTCTAAAGCAATACAATGGTAGCCAACCTCGACTGCTAAATGCACAAGAATGTTTAGATAGAATTTCCTCTAAAAATAGTATCCCAAAAAAGTTAAACTTGTATATACACGATCATGCCATAGTCATATCACAATGAAATCATTTATCAATTACCGCCACAACATAAATGATTTTCATAACAACATACAAATGAAATAAAAACAAAACGGGATTACCAATTACATTCAATTTATAAAAGCAAAAAAACCTAAAGTATAAAAACTCTAAGCAACTAACTAAAAAACTAAATTCAATTCAGTACTCTAATTTCAATTCTAGAATAACATATTCTCAATTCAATGTATATGCATTTTAAGTACAATTTTCAAGCAAAAGAATAATAGCAATCAATTCAAATCCAAGTTGGAGTCTTTCAAATTTATTGTCTTCCTCAAAATAAAAAGTATTCTCTAACTTGAAATTGAAATAAATGCAATTTTAAATCCACACAATACCTCAATTTCGATAAAACTCAACAAACTTTAATTGACACATAATTTCAACACATTATACCTATAAAAAATGGGTACACAGTAAATTCATACTGATCAAAAGAAAAAAGAATGGTGGAGCATACAATATTTCTTTTAGGCATTCCAACAAACACTTGATGTCCATTATGGTTGATAGCAAATCAACACCTAACTAACAACTTTTGTGTGTCGATTTCAATTTGTGGGTATGTCTAATTGTGTGTGTTGGGTGTGTGTGCTAAGTGTGTATTTGTGTGTGTTGTACTACGGCTAGGGGTTTGTGTGTGTGCGAAGTGTGGGGGTGTGTGTTGTGGGTGGATGTGTGCGATATTGTGTGTGTGTGTACATTTTCTGTAATTTGTGAAAAACAGGGGTAGAGGAGGGAATTTTATGTGTGTCGTGTTTGTGTATGGTGTGTTGTGTGATGAAGACAGAAAGAGGGATATGAAGAGGGCGAGAGAATGAGAGAGATGGAAGAGAAGACACACACAAAATTTTTCTATGGCATTTCAACAAACACTTCATGTGCCATGGATTGGAGTTGTGGGGAAGGGGTATGGTCATGCTGGTAACTGAAGATGGAAGAGAGAGGGGGGAAAGAGAAAGAGAGAGAGGGGGAGGGACAACGGGAGAGATACCTGGAGAATGAGACTTGGTAGGGGCTGGCTAGTAACATCGGGGTCTTCGCAGATGGCTGACTGTCGGCATGAAGATCTGAGATCAGAAAGAGAAGATCCTAGAAGATATCAAAGAGAGAGAAAGATAGAAAGGAAGGGTTTGTGGTTGTGGTAAACGGTGGTGGGTGGCATTGGTCATGGTGATTGGGGATGGAATGTATCCTCTCAACATGGAGCAGAGAGGGGGCGAGGGGTTTGTGGGTGGTGGTGTTTGGTGTCAGTGGCTGACGAAGTGGCTGTGGTGGTGGTGCTGGTAAGGAGAAGTGGTTGTGGTGGGGCTGTAACAGAGAGAGAGAGAAAGAGTGAGGAGAGAGGAGTAAGGACTGACGGACTAAAAAAAAAAGAAGAAAAACAATGGCTTGAAAAGTTGAGAGAAGTTTGATTTTGAAAAAAAAAAAACCAGAGAGGTGGTGGGGAGGGGACATGTCTGACAGGTGAGTGACCAGGGAGCTGATTTTGAAAAATTATTTGAGTGAGGAGGGATGAGTTTCGGGGGGAAATCGAAGAAAGGATGATGGTCGTTTCATGAAATTAATTGATCGTTCGATCGACTTGTTGAACCCCGCTGTGTTTTATATTATAGAAATAATTTTTTCTAAATTAAAAAAATTAAATTATCAATTTTACCCTTCATCCTCCTCTCTCTTGCCTCTCTTTTTCTTTCTATCCAAACATGAAAATTCATTTTTGACCTATCAAATGACTTATTTTCTCAAATCTATAGTCATTTTTTTAACTCTTTGACCCCAAATTGCTAGACCCAACTCCCTTTTTGAAGTTTTAACAAGTATTTCAAAGTTTTGATTGTCAAGTTTCCAAACCCCAGTGACTTTCTTTACCACACACACATACCTCGGTCATAGCTTCCAAGCACTCCAATACACTATAGTACAACCTTATGTTTCTATTTGTGTAGGTGGTGCTTTGAGTGTTGTAGGGACCTGACACTTGTTGTCGGTCAGCACAACAAGAACCAATTATAATTGCTGGTCAGCACCAGCAAGATCAGATGCTATTGTCGGTCAGCACTTACTTGGGAGAGCCACTACCACTCGGCAACCTCTTGGACAAGGGCTTGTCGGTCGACACTAGTCTAAGAAGGGCCCTTGCATGAGCATACTAGTTGTGGAGACTAGATGCATTGCGAAGTTGTTATTGTCGGTTAGCAATAGCAAGGCCTAACTGCTACTGCCTCTCTGTTGCTGTCCAATTGCTACCGCCTACCTGTTACGTACTATTTAACTACTACAACTTAGCTGCTACTTC